GCCCTGGGAGCATTTCTGTAGACAGCTGCTCTGCTCCCATGGCAGCAGTGTGGATGCCTCTACTAATGATTCTGCAGAGGGGACAGCCCCCAAGCAAGCTGGGACCTCGGAGCTGGCTGTGCCAGTCTGACACAAGGTAGACTCTGCTCCCACCACTGCAGGGCTGATTAAGACCTATTATCTGGTTGGTTAATGGCCCCAAGCCACTCACAGGTGACTTAGACTGTTCATTTAGCCACAAATCATCGCTGGGCTGGCAGTTTATTTACCTTCCCCACCAGCCTCCTGTGGCTTCCCAGACTCTGGAGATAGCGGGTGGCCAGGCTGTAAGGGGCAGGGCAAAGACACCATCCTGCTGTGGGCAGTAGCCAGGGCTCCCACAAAACCTGGGACACCCCGAAAAGGGACTCCTGCACCTAGCATTTACCAGGGGCTCTGCCTGCTTGGGGATGAGAGTGGGGTGCTCCTACAGCCTCTCTCATGGGGGAAGAGCTAGAAAAACACTTCTGAGCATGCTTCCATCCTGTCTCCAGTGTCAGTGGTGACTCCAGGCTGTATTTCTCCACTAGCTGGCTACAGACTTCGGAATGGCACAAGATGACCTGAGGCACCAGGTCCAGAGCAGCAAGATCTCTGCTTCCTCCGAGATGCTTTAAGCAAGGTTGACACACTGTGGGTTTCTTACTGTGAAGTAATTTCTAAAGGTGGAAAGCTCTTGGGGCTGTGACCTGGTGAGTAGTTAATGCTTAGCAAACAGGTACAGCCATCCTGGAGACAGACAGGGAGCTCTTTCAACACCTAAAAGCCTAAATGACTTGGTTAGAAATCGGTTTCTGTCATCTCTCTGGGATGGGCTAAGCACTGATTCCTGCACAGTCTCTGTGTCAAAGGTAACTTCTATTGACTCAAGGCAGGAGGTGACCCAAAGCTGACAGAAGGACCTGATGCTAAATTGTCCATCTAGGAAAATCCAAAATGAAAGGTTAGGTGAAAATCAAGACACTCCAGCATAGGTCATGTCACATATTGTGTCTGGGATGAAAGCTCGATCCTGGGAAAATGGAAGTCTCATCCCAGTTGGGAATTTTTTTATCAGGGTATGTATTTTCCTCGGCACTCTTGGCTTTGATCTTGGGGCAGTTGGATTTGTTGAGGGACATGACGTTGCTTCCCAAGGTGATACTGAGGAAGTAGTGGGGCTGTAAAACTGAACTGTGCTCCCAAATACTACCTGTGATTCCCATGGCTTGTTTCTGAGGACTCAGGTACTGCTGGCAACAAATTGGGGAAGTATATGAAGTGCTGTTGGTAGTGTTGTGGGACTCTAGAGCTGCTGAAAACTTGTGTACACCAGACCTGGGTGTCTTTGGTGGCCATGTGGGGTTTTGCTCTTCTAGTTTTATTCCTGGTGCTTGATCTTACATGGATGGGAATCACAATGGAGTCTATTCACTAGAGGCTATGGGCACAGTAAAGAGCTCCAGTTGTCTAGCTGTGTACCTTCCCATCAGCAGTAAAAGGCTTTGCAGGGCTGTGTACCTGCAGGGGTGCTGCTGTGAGTGCAGCTGTCAGGTCACTGAGGGAGGACTGAGCTCTGAATGTCCAGCTGAGGCACATCCAGAAAATTCTCCCCAAAATATCTAGGCAAATGAAAGAATCCCAGGAAGCTCTGGGCTGTGTGAACACTCCTGGTGATGCCCATTGCCCAGTGTGGGATGCTATGATGAGGGTCTGCCCCAGAGAGGTGAGGGAGCTGAGGAACTTTACTGCTGCCTGGGCAGCATGGACCTCTTGCTGGTCGGCACTTTCTGGACAGAAATAGTCTAAGTGGTTAAAAGCGAGGTACCTTTAGAGCACATTGAACCCGAGGTGCATGAGGCAGGGACAAATGGAGGTGTTGATGGCGTAGGTTTTAGCACAGAGGAGCTGTGGGGGGACTGGGAGCAATATGATGCTGACTGGGAGCATATCTCCTTGAACTCTACCTCATCCTGAACTGGGGTGGTTTCCTGGGAGAGTTTCTGTTCACAGGGCCCTGAACCCTCAGAAGGGAGGAATGAACTCTGTCTCTGGCTGGTATCGTGGGGTCTGCCACCTGTGGCTGATGTTCAGGGCTGCCTTACAACCTCCTGTGCAGGAAGGAAGCTGGGCAGAGGTGAGGGGCCAGGCCACAGTCACATTCACTTATTACAATCCTCTGATTTAGTTAGCAACCAGGTGAGCTGTCACTGGAGGATTTGATGGATGGGAAAGAGAGTTCCCTCCTTCCTGAGGCGGGAAATGAAGCTAATCAGACCTCAGACACCTTAATCCAGCTCTGATCTGATTAATGACCCTGAAGACTGTGAACTCATCAGTACCCTGGCATCTATCACTGCTTTGCATCCTGCCCCTTCTGCTGTCCACCACCCAGCTCAGCTCATCTGCACACAACTGTGGACACCATCTCTCTGCCCAGCATAGCATGGGCTGTGTGCCAGCTGCTGTGCTCCTGGACAACCCTCTTAGAGGGCTTCAGGGTCTGGTCTAAATATCTCCACTCATCATCCCTCCATGATTTCTCTAGATTTCTTTATTCAGGTATTTCCAATAAAGTAATAAGCCAGGTTCTATGGCTATGTCAGCAAAGATTTCTTGCTTGTGCAATTTAAAGGCTGCAGCTTGGCTGGTTGTACTTGCATCACCCTGGTTTCAGTGAATTGGGTACTAGTGTGAGCTGCTGATCCTTGGGGGAGTTGCTTGTCTTTGGAAAACCTCCTTGGGTAGTGTAGGGGACTTCCATGAGGACAGTAAGGCTGTGACTAATAGCTGTGACCCAGAGCCCTCATTCAAGCCCTGCTCCCACAGTCTGAGCTATACACTGGATACAGTCACAAATGGTCTCAGGGCTTGCCAGGGGTTGCCTGGACTTTCCTGGGCTGTCTACCTGTCTGTCTGTTACCCCATGGGGGTGACTGAGGTGCTGATTTCTCTGTTCTGGCTCCCCCCTTCCCATGTAGGCTATTGATCTACAGTGGAAGAGTTGTCCTACCTTCACTGTGCTCTCTGTTCCCTGGATATTTATTGTAGTTTCCCCCTGGTCTTAGGAGTCAGTCTGCTCCATTCCTCCCCTGGTCTTGTCCCATCTGTGCCTGCTGCTTGGCTGTGCTGGCACTTCCTATGGTGGGAGAGAGAAAGTATGCCTTTTTTGCCTGTGAAAAGGTGTCCTTTTGTCTGGGGGGACATTGGCTTGTGTTCTGGGAAAGCAGAGGGGGATGTAGTGGGGGGAGAAGAGGGGAGCCCTACAGCCTCTCTGATGACAGACAGGTTGGAGCAGCATGCACAGCTGAGCTGAGGGGGAAAGGAGCACTGTTCCTGTCACTGGGGTGACATACACCCCAAATCCCCTTCTGAGCAAATCCAGCTCTGAGCTTTCCATGGGGCTCATTCCTGCCCTTCTGTCTCCCAGGGAAGCATCTGGAAAAGGGATATTGCGTGTCTTCCCACAGAAGGGTCTTGGGCCACTCAGTGAAGCTGTTTGGTGCTGGGCTCAGGAAATTGAAGGAAGAAGTTGTTGCACACATTGGAACTTTGCAGCTCCCTTCAGCAGGGTGATGAGTATGCAGGGAGATTTGCAGGCAGCATACCAGACTCTGTTGGTGCTGGGAAGAGAAGTCCCTGGGGTTACAGGGCAGAGAAAGCATAAGAGGCTGAGGAAAGCCCCATATGCTCCTGCCTTTCTCTTCTCTGGGCATCTGCTTGCCCCCTCTGTGACACACAGGATTCAGTGGGGTGGACCCATCTCTTGCTCAGGGAATAGAGCAGCGCTGGAAATGCTGAAGGGACAAGAAATACAGGGACAGGGATCTCCTTTAGCCATTATTACATTTAGACAGGGCAAGAGCAGCTGCCTTACTTTCCTTCCTAAGAGCAGGAGCCATCACAGGGCACAAAAAATCAGAGGCTTCTGTCACTGCTTCAAAAGGACACAAAGAAGTTGGAACCAGAGACACACATGTGAAGACCTTTAATGGCAGAGATTCCTAAAGCACTCACATGCACTTTGCCTGGCCCTGAAGGCCAATGCCAGGGGATCTGGACCAGCTCTGCTCCTGTTACCCATCTTTCCCAGACCAGCCAAAGCTTTCCTCTCTATCCTTCCCAGGTGTTATTCTCTAAGCTGTATCTTGCTTAGGAAAGGTAAGATCAGGCAAGGGAGTAACAATCTGCCTGTGTGCACCTGCTGGGTTGGCATCTTGGACAGGCGTGGGTGATGGCAGGTGGCGATCCTTTGTGTGTCCAGCTCAGGTCTGTTGATCTCCCTGGATTGCAGCAATGCAATGGGAAACAGCACAGCTGGGCACAGGTGATCCCAGCGCACAGGATACAGAGGAGCCTGCTGGTGAGTGAGCACCTCTCTGGCCTCCCAGTTAAGCACTCTGCCCTCCAAGTGCCTGGGGGCTCCACGGTGCCAGCGCAGCACAGGAGCCCAGCAGGGCTTTGCCTACATGTGCTGAAGCCTGTCTGGTCTCTCCAGACCTCCTCCTCCTATGGCTGCTGCAACCATCGATGTGCTTCCCTGCCATGGGGCTCTGGATCAGGAGAATGGGCTCAGAGCCCTGGGTGGGTCCTGCCGCCTGGGGGGACCTCTGGGTGTGGAGGGGCTGGGGAAGGGGCAGAGCAGCCCGGGTCAGTCCCTGGCGTGCGCCCAATGCCGTGTCCGGGGGCTGCAGGAGCCGGAGGAGGGCGGCGGGGCGGGGGGCCGGAGCGGAGCCAATGGGGAGCTGGGGTAGGTGGAGAGGGGGTTAAAACCCACCCCAGCGCCTTCGGGCGAGCGAGTGCCCGGGAGGCGGAGCGGAGAGGAGGGCTGCCCTCGAGGGCAGCCCCGCTGAGCGCGGCGCGGCCCCGCGGGTGAATGCCCGCCGGTGCCGGGGCTCGCCCGGGGCTGGCCGGCCGGGCTGCGCCCTGGCAGGGGAGCGGTGGGGCAGCGGGGGCTCGACGGCTCCGCACGGGGTAGGGCCATGCACAAGTCCATGGAGAAGTCCCAAAACTTCCGCATCGAAGCGCTCCTGGCTGAAGAGCCGGCGCGGAGCGCCTCCCCGCCGGGGCTGAGCCCCGGGAGCCCCGCGTCGAGCCCCGGCCCCGCCGGGCGCTCCGACACCCCCTCACCGCGGGCACCCCCGGCCGCTGCGCCCCTCGCCCCGGCCGGCTTCGTCCCCAAGCCCGGCTTGCTGCACCTCTCTGGCCCCGGGCTCGGCGCCCTGCCGGCCCTCTACCCTCCCGCCGTGTACCCTCTCCCCACCCTGGGGGGCCAGCACCCCGCGTTCGCCTACACCGGCATCCCGCACCTGCCGCCGCCCGGCGCAGAGCACCTGAAGGCGGCCGTGGCCGGCTCCTTCCCGCTGGAGCACTGGATCCGAGCCGGGATGCTGGTGCCGAGGCTCTCCGACTTCAATGGTGAGTGACCCGGGGACTGACCCTCCCGACAGGCGGAACGCGGCTCTGGGCCCTTCCAACTCCCGCGGGCGTCCGCCGCCACATCAGGGTACGGGTCCCTTCGGCAACCCGGGACTGAGGTTTCCCGACCCCACCCCTTCGAGGCCCTCCGGTGGTTCGGGTCGGGACCCCGCAGGGACATGGAGCCCTCCGGGCTGAGCCCGATGCGTGGCTCTCCCTGTACCCAGACCCGCTTCCTAGCCCGGCAGGGCTGGAGTGGGGAGGTGAGGTGTCCCACTGCTGGGGGGACATGACTCGCCCTCCGGAGACCTCCGAGGGCTGTGAGGCGCTGGGGAACATGTCCGAAGGTCAAAGTCTCGCCTTACGCCGGCCCGGCGTTCCGGCACAGCCCCGAAAAGCCCTGCCCGCGCCGCCGCCGGCAGAGCCGAGCCGCGCCTACCCGGGCTGCCAGCCCCGCACGGCGCCGCGGGCTCCTTGGGCTCCTGCGGGGCGGGGAGGAAACGAAAAGAAAGCAACGGCGGCAAAAACCTGCGCTGGGAAACGAATAAATCCCTCTCGGTGCGGCTGGGAACGAACTCGCCCCAGTCCTGCAGGATGCGCGGCCGGATCGAGCCCCGTGCAGGGCCGGGCCGGCGCTCCGGGTCCTGCTCGCCTCCCGGGGCTGAGGGGCCGGTGAGTGCATTGCTGGCGGCAGCTGCGGGAGCCGACAGCGTGCTCGGCTCCAGCCTTGCCCCGCTCCCTCCTGCTGGGCACCTCCAGCGCTGCGGGCAGGCTCCGGCTCCCGCGCTGCTGCGGTGGGTCCTGCAGGGCACGCACGGAACAAGAGCTGACTTCAGGCACTTGTCCCGCTGCGGTCTGGCACCCCTGGCAGTGCGGCCCGGACCCTGCCCTGTGCTGGTCGGTGGAAAGATGGACATTAAACCGAGAGTAATTGGTTCATAAAGCCCCGTCAGAGTATCCAGATTTGTTAGCATAAAAAAAAATTCCTAAAAATCTGAAAGCCCATTTGCAAAATAACAATAATTTTAAAAGGCTGGATAAATAACAGTACAAAAATTTACAGATAATTACTTGAAAAAGCACATATATTATTCCTACCTCAAGCTATTCCTGGTCAGGTTAATGGGAAACAGGCTATTTTTTCCCCACGCTGTCTCCCGTTACCTGGCTTTCCCTAGACTTTAGGAAAGGTCCATCTGTAAATCTAGAGGTGTAGAATAAGCCTCCAGTGCTATGGGTTATGTGCAGTCTTGTCACTAAGACAAGAAAAAATAAATCTTGATTAGTTAGAAGTCTTAATTATTTATTACATCTTCCTACTCCTCTGCAGAGGCTATGTTATCTTTGAAGCGTCTGGGTCTGTTGGTGTATCTCAGCATCCTGGTTGCTTCATACAGGATTGTGTTTCACCAGAGTGGGAATGCTCCACTGCATCTGGTCCTGTAGCCCTGAGTGCAGCTTCTGGCTGGGATAACATAGAGATATTTGTACATCAGCCACCTTCTTCTCAAAGGCAGGATATGATCTTCAGTTGATTGTATCCAAAACCTCACCAAAAGGAAACAAATCCCAAACTATTAGCATGAGAACTATTTGTGAAGGGAACTCTGCAGAATGTGCTGGACCAGAATGTCAAAGGGTCTTGTGGGAAACACTGAGCAGGGCTCCTGTGGAAGTTCAAAGGGAAGAAAAGCAGTTTCTGACCCAGTTATTACTTATCTGGTTTCTGGAGATCCCAAAGCAGAGTAGACACGTGGAGGTAAAATAAGGGCACAGCAAAAGCTGCCATAACTGTAAATTTTTAAATCAGGATGACCACTGCCTCAGTCCGTGTCCTTGCTAAAAGGTGTTTGTTCCCAATTCTGGGGAGTCCTTTGGGGATCCCAGTGGGGATTCTTTCTCTCCAGAGTGTCTTAAATACTTCAGCAATTCTTCTGCTGTGCAGAAGAGAACCTTACCCATCTTCACATCCTTATTTCTGTCCATTGGCAACCTTAGAGTTGTCTATTGTGTCTTCAGCCCTTGCTCTTGCGGGCTCACTGAAGCTCTGAAATCAGGGTCACTTGCAGCAAGTCTTCTCCTTGTGCTTAGCAGGACTGCTCCAGCTGCATGCTGTGGCTGTGTTCGGGCTCAGCTTGCACCGGTGTGCTGGCCATGCTGTAGGGACAGGGACAGGAAAGGGCACTATAGGATGTGCTACCTCCACAGCCCTTCCTCATCTCTCTAAGGAGCATGGTGGGCTGGGCAGGAGACTTCCATTGCTGGCACAGGGCTCCTGGGCTGCCTGTAGTTTGTGGGAGTCCCTGTCCCACCACCCAGCCTAGACAGACAGATGGACGGACCTCCCTGGCTGAAGTTTCTAGAGTGACCGAGCACCAGTGTTGAGGCTGCTGGTGCCAGCCATGTTTCACTCTCCCAGGAGCAGTGGACAGATGGCTGTAAGAGATGAATCTGGAAGCCTTCTAGGACATACCTTGGATCATTCCAGGGAGCAATCGCCCTTGGGATTTATTTAAAGGGAATTCCAGGACTAAATTCTGGAATAAATTCCTTCTTTGGGTGCATGTGTAGCAATGTATTGCAGGTGTGGTCTAGTTTGATTTCCTGGGGACAGTCAGGGAGGGGGAAGCAGCAAGACAGCCCATGAACTGTAAGCTCTGTGGGTATTCATTGCACACATTCTCCCTGCTATCACCTGTGTGTGGGGAGGAAGGATGCCAGGCAGGCAGTCTGAGGCAGTTGTACCCTCAGGGACCTGGCCTGGGCTGGGCTGCTGGGCTCACTGAGAGCAGTGCCCTGCTGTGAGGCAGGGTGAGTGTCTCCCTCACCAGCTGCCTGTGCAGAGCTGCATGTGCTGCGTGGCTGCCTGTGCTGCAATGCGGACTGAGGGGGCTGTGGAAGGCCTGGGTGCAGGAGCAGGCATGCCCTTGCTGCAGCAAGCAGGGATGCTGCCTGCCCAGGTTCTGCTATCCCCATCCTGGATCCCTATCCTGGGGTTTTGAGCACCTCCTGAACTACCCAGGGGTAGCATTGGGCACTGGAGTGCCAGGCCTATTAGTTTTTCTGGGAGCTGTGATTTATTTGCCTTGTCAGTGTGGAAATGTGGTGCAGTGGTGGGAGCCAGTGCAGAGACCCACTGCAGCTGAGAGCTGTAGAGTGGGGAGCAGTGGCATACAGCTATAGACTCTCAGGAAGAGAAGAGGATCCCCTCTGACGGAGCCGGTGCTTATATGGCTTTCCTTGCACATCATTTCCTTGCATCACCCACTCACTAACTTGAAGGCCTGGAGCCCAGATCAGATCCTGCCCATGATGGCAGAGAGCTTGCTGATGGGCTGTGCTGGGGTAGGAGAACAGGCAGGATAAATCTTATCAAACTTGTTCAAAAAGCAATGCCTTCCAAGGCTCACCAGGTGTACAGTGGTCTGGCGTCAGCTGGAAATATGGGCTGGGAAACAGCTGGCAAGCAGCAATTGAAGTTTAATGGTGGAGCAAGTAAGGGGCTTGCAGAGCTAGCAAGTGCCCTTACACATGCTGCCCCACTGATAATGGCCAGGGCTGCTGGCAGATCAGAAAAACCTCTGATGATGACCCTGATGCTGAGGCTACTTCCTTCCCTTCCAGCCCTGGTACACAGAGAAACACTTAAAGCAGTCAGGGTGTTAATTTCCTCTCCTTTATCTGGCAGACCACAAAGTTAAGTGAACTATAGTTAAACAAACCAAATTAAAAACAAGTGAGTTAATATCAACCTAGGATTACCCTTGTTATCAAGTAGGCGGAACTGTATCAAATAAACCAACAATTCTTTATAAGCTTTATCTAATTATCCAGGAGGCAGCTGCCTTGCAGAGCTCCTGGCCTCAGACTCAGAGGGCATTCCTGGCCCCAGGCCAAGCCATTTATTTACTGATACTCTAGCCAGATGCCAGGCACCCATCAGGGGGTCCAAGCCCTGCCAGGCTGAAGGGATGTTGAGACAAGCTCTGATCCTGGATGGAGTGCTGGAGGAGATGGCTGAGCAGAAAATAAATCCTTTGGCAAGCAAAGGTGAGTCACTGATCTTCTGGTAGAAGCTGGATAAGATGGACAGTCTTCCCAAAGGGTAATACTTTCTGAGATGCTGATTGTGATTGGGATGGGTTTATGGCTCAGTTGACTGCAGAAGGTAAGCCCTGAGACGCATGCTTGCTGTGCACCCCTTGGGAGAATTCTTTTTCCATGTGGCAGCCTGCCACAGGACAGGGAGGGATGGGACTCAGCAGAGCATGCTGGCAGTTTCAGCTTCTACCTTCTTCCTTTTTCCTTTTCCCAGTGAGAATCTGCAGATCCTCTTCTGCCATACTCTCTCCACACAAAAGACCCTTTAGGAAAGGTAACAGCAGAGCTGATGCCAGAGATGCTGATCATTCACGTCCATGAAAACCTGCTGCTGTGGGTGGCTGAAGGTCAGCTGTATTGGCTTGGGCTTACTCCACCTGGTGTGGAGGCCAAATCTTGAACGAGTCACAGTGGGGAGCAGTGGTGATGGATAATTATACCTGCTGAAGGGTGTGTTGTCAGAAGAGGTCACAGATTAGGTGGCCAGCCACATTCTATAGTCTGTATGGTGGTGGCTCAAACTGCATGACAGCACCACAGAGGGGTTTGAGGCTTGTTTTTTGGTGGTTTTGGGGGTTTCTTTTTGTTGGTTGGGTTTGTTTTTTTGTTTTGTTTTGGTTGTGGATTTTTTTGTTGTTGTTTTTGTCAGCACTGGGGCAGGAGGCAGGGTGAGTTTCCAAGGAAGTCAGGCTCTGTACATATTGTAATGGGCTCTAATATTTGTAATGGGCACACTGCACTGAAGCTGAATTGGCCTCTGAGAAGGAGAAATCAGGGCTGGCAGCAGGACCACACTCCAGAAATCAATCCCCTGGATTGGTAGTTATTTGGGATATATCCTGTTTGGGTTTATTTGACTTTTGGACAAACTTTCTGTTCTTCTTTTCCCTGCTAGACCAAGCAGTCCTCAGCAGCTCACCTGGGGAAAAATGAGTCTCCTGAGGGTGTTGTCAAAGTAGGCTGCCTTCCAGGCTTCTCTGAAGCTGGACAGACCAAACTTGCATTGCTTTCAGGATTAAGATTCTTCTGTGAGGCACTTCCTTGCCTCTACTCTTCCTGCATCTGGTTTTAGTCGGTCACATATGACCTTGCTAGAGGAGGCACAGAGGAGCCTTTCAGGTTGATCTGAAGGAATTCTGTGCTCCCTGGAACCAGGACACAATGATCTAGGAGCTGAGCCCTGGGCTCTCTGCTTTGGAGTGGGGAATTCAGACTGGGAATATGATGTCTCTTCACTCCTGGACCTTCCAGCTCCAGAAAGCACAGAACTCCTGGATTATTGGATGCTGAGAGGGCACAACCTCTTCCCTTATCTTTCCCCAAAACATTCTCTCTCTACAGACCATGCTCAGAAAAAGGAACTGCTCAAAGGGGCTTTCTCTGACCTGGTACAGCCAAACTGCACAGTGCAGCCTCATTGCAGGGAGGGATTCTGGTGGCTCCCTCCAGCCACCCCCCTGTCTCTGTCAGCAAAGGAGGCTCACTGGGACCCAGAGTCCTTGGGCTGCTGGACGCTGCCCAGGGCTGCTTTGTGTTGTGCCCCCACCAACACAATGAATTTCCCCTCCAGTTCTCTCTGATGCATCTCTGGCGTTTCCCTCCCCAAGAAGCTGCAGAGGGTGTTAGCTTGGGCTGCCCCATCCCTGCAGATGCCAGTTCCCATAACACCTCCTTTTCTTAGCCAGAGGAAGCCTTTACAGAGCTGTTTGGTCCCAAGTCTCCATGGAGGATTTGTGCAGCCCGAACATCCACAGCCAGTCAGAGCGGAGATGGCTGCCGAATTCTGCAGGGCTGAGACATCTTTCATCTGTATTTGTCCTGGAAATCTTTTGAACCCCTCATTCGGTTTTAGCCTTGAATATGTTTCATATGCAAAATAATGCATCATGTCAGAATCATTGGCACAGTGTGTCTCTGTTCAGTCAGTCCCTTGTTAACTGCCCAGTGGCTACAAGGTGGGTCCCAGAGACTGTCACTCCTGCCACTGAGGGGCTACAGGCAGAAGAAGGGGTTGTGTCTATCCTGCTCCCATGAGCTGTTTGCACAGCCTGCGTTCTGTCTGTTTGACCCAGCATCCAGGTACTTGGGATCAAACCTGTGATGTGATCAGTTAATAGTTCTTTCATAAATTCCTGCCTCATGCGTCATCGCTGTGTTTGTGAAGGGCTCGGTGGACACCTCAGGAGATGGGCAGGTTGGATCAAAGCTGGAATCTGGGGGAGATAACATGAATGGTACCCCATGCCCAGCAAAGTGGGTGAGTTGGAGTGGCCCTTGCCAAGCACGACACGCTTCTGGGGCCAGGATGCTCCAGGATCTTGTTGCCCAAGATGTGTCAGCAGGGATGTGCCAAGGCCCTTTTGCATTAGTGCCCACCACCACCACCTCCCCCATTCTCCCCCACACCTCTCCCTGCTCCTCCAGCACTTTATTCCCAGCTGCAAACCCCTGGGTTTGATTGCCGCTGGTGCTGGGAGAAGCAGTAAAAGCTGAACCCCAGGGGGACAATAAAGCCAGTGCAGAGGAGATAAGCAAGGATCAAACAGAGCGCAGCAGCCACCCCATGCTGGACTCTCAAAGGTCCCTTTGTTCTGCTGCCTCCTGATTCAGTGCCGCTCTGCCTTCAAGGGCTGCAGGCAAGATAGTGGAGCTCCCGGGCAGCCCCAGCACAGCCCCTGGCCGTTGAGCTGCCACCTGTGCGGCCCAGCAATAAAAAAAGAGAATTAATTTCAGTCACAGCACTGATCCCAGTTGTACACCGAGGCCCGATAACATATCTCACTGGTTCCTATCAGGCAATAAAGCCATTATTGGGGTGGGAGATGATGGAGACATTCACCTTCCTCCTCATCCTGAGTTTGCTGAAGGGTTGTCCCCCTACCAGTCTGCTGTCCCCTGACCCCCCCCCACCCCGTCTGCTCTACAGCTGCCCCACAGTCTGGTTTGATGGGGAAGTGCCGTCGGCCCCGCACAGCATTCACCAGCCAGCAGCTCCTGGAGCTGGAGAACCAGTTCAAGCTCAACAAGTATCTGTCCAGACCCAAGCGTTTTGAGGTGGCCACGTCGCTGATGCTCACTGAGACACAGGTACCTTGGCCCTGGGGGGATGGAGCATAGCACCATGGAGCTGCCATGGGGGCAAGTCAAATTCATGGGCAATGCTAACGCCATCAGCCCCACTCCCCACTACTCCCATCAGTGCCCCTTCCAGGGCATCTCCTGCAGAGATCTGCCTGGTGGGCTCCAGGCTCTTCTCTTGTGAAGGGCACCCCAGAAATACTTCTCCTCTTTTCAGCTGGCAGCCCCAGCTTGGGTTTCAGAGCCTTCCCATCCTTCAGCATGCTGTGGGAGGGGTCTTTCTGTGGGACTAATATGAAAATGTCCCTGTGCATATCCTTGGCTGGAGGCTGGAGGGGAGAAAGGCAGCAGCCCCCAATATTCCTCTCGCCATGACAACCTCAGCCTCTTTGTACATACTTGTAGCACCACGTGATGCCCCACAATGAAGAGGTTTTGGGGGGACCCTCCATGCAGGAATGTTGAGGGGGTGAGTGGGGACAGGATGCAGCAGGATACATCCTCTCCCCTGGGGCTTTCCCTTGGCAGGTGAAGATCTGGTTCCAGAACCGCCGCATGAAGTGGAAACGGAGTCGCAAGGCCAAGGAGCAGGGAGCTCAGTTGGAAGCTGAGAAGCAACGAGGGCTCAGCAAAACCTGTGAGAAGCTGCTGCCCAGCGAGCCCCAGGGACAAGCTGCCGAAAGCCCCGAGTTCATGGGGCACAGCCCTGACTCGGGCTTCCTGCACTGCAGCACCGCTGAGCTGAGCTATGGCCCGGACTCGTCTTGCTCGGGGGGCGAGGAAGAGGAGGAGGACGAGATGGGTGCCACAGAGAGGAAGATCGGCTCTGTGTTGTGAAAGGCAAATGGAGCCAGCTGGGGAGAGTGGCCAGGCTGTGTTGGGGTGTTCTCTTTGCTGGCAGACACAGACTGTGCCTGGAAGGAGCAGGGGGCTGCAGGGCACCTGCTATGCTTTAACTTATGTATGTTTGGATCCTATTTAACTTGTAATTATTCCTCTGTGTGTATCTGGAGGATTCCCCAGATCCCTCCCCTATAAAGCTGTTATCTGGATGCCTGTGCTTTTCCTTAGGGGATGGGAAAATCCCCTGTCCTGTTACTGTGCTGTCTTACCAAGTCACTGGGGAAAAAGGTGGGGAGAGCAAACTTGGACAGCTGGCAGCCTGCTGGCACAGCTGGAAGAGGGAGACCCCAGACCCTTCTTTGTCTGCACTGCCACTTCCCTATGGATCTGACAGTGCCTGGAGAAGCACATCCCAGTGTGGTGCCAGCTTGTCCTTCCCCTTGGTGGCATGAAGAGCTGGGAAGGATGGCCAGGTTGCATGCCAGCCTGCCTTGCCTCCTCCTGCACCTGTACATCCCTGCTATGGTCTGTGCTTTGTAGGGCAAAACTGTCCTGAGAAGCAGCAGTTAGCCTGCTTTCATTGATGTGGCAATGTCTCAAATAAGCAGGGGGGAAGGGAGGCAGGAAAGTGCTCAGGCTGTGGTGAGCTCCCCTTTTCCCATGGTGATGCTTAACCTCTCCAAGTTCTTTTGTGGGCTTGTTTCATTATGCTCTTGGGAACTTGCACACTCTGACAGGGCTGAAATCGACCCTTGGTAGCAGGATGGTGACTGACACCCTCTACCACTTCCCAATCAACACTAGGGTTAAGCACTGACTCCCCTTAAGTAAGCAGGCTGCCCATGTCCTCACAGGATGCTGGAGGGTTCTGGAAGGCCCTATAGATCTCCCATGCTTCCTGTGCACTTACTGGGTCTCCCCTTGGGGTGCTGAGATGGCCGTGAAGGCAGAGGAGACAGCCCTGCTTCACTCCAGTGCGCGAGGGGCTACAGGGGTGGAGCAGGCTGGGCTGGGGTGGGTGACCCGTTCCCAGAAAGACCACGATGTCCCTCCTGTCCTCTCCTCTGCCTGTCTCTGCCTGAGAGCGGCAGGGAGGGCTGCCTGGCCCGGGACTTGTGGTGGGGGTGGGAATTGCTGAAGCACAACAGCCCCTGTGGAATCCTGGTCATCCCTGGCAGTCAGTGCTGGAAGGGACAGGGAAGCGCTGGTGCGGGGCTGTCCCACATCCCAAGGCTGGGGAAAGCCTGTCAGTGTCTGGGGGGCAGCACCCTGGGCAGGGGCACAGAGGCGATGGTTTTGGGACAGAGAGGTGGGCAGGGCAAGCAGGTGACGGGAGAGAGGAGCGCGGAGCCGCACTCACGGGTGGATGATGGTCTGTGTGGGGGCACAGTGACCCACAGTGGCTGCTGGCAGCTCAGCAGGTCCCCCCTGGGTACATGGCATCCTCACTGCCCAGGATCCCTCTCCCAGGCTGTCCATCTCAAGACATGCAGGTGTCTAGACCCCTGGAATTGCCCCGTGGGGACCTCTGGTTCTGGGGAGGCTGCAGCCCTTGCTGCAAGGGGGTAGGTATGAGCTAGGGTAGCAGCAGGTGCCAGGAGCCTGCTGTGGTTGGTGTAACGTGGGGCAAGAGAGAAATAAATGTGGTGTAGCAGGGGAAAATACAAGGAAAGGAGAAGGGATGGGGAAGCATGAAAGTTTGGTACCTAATTCCCTGCCATTCCCATGTGGGAACAACAGAGGAGGAGAGACCCGTTGCTCCAGGAGAGTTGTGTCAGCTCCCAGCAAAAACACAGGGCTGGGCACAGAAATGCTGGTACCTGCCAGCTCATGGCTGCAGCAGCAGCAGGGCCAAAGACATCTATCACCTGAAATGCAACATGGCTCAGCAGGAGACCACAGGGACTAGCACACACTAGAGCAGGGCTGAAATGGGGGGACAGGAATGGTAGAGGCAGAGAGGAAAAGGCAAGAAGGAAAGCAACAAAAGTGCCAGGAAGGAGGAGGGGAGCTGAAGGCATGTCACAGGCTTAAAACATTCACCTTGATGGGCCGTGACAGGTTTAATTTGCAGAGTACAATCATTAAAGTGATGGATGGGAGGCGTTCATCTCGAGCCTGCTGCACTCAGGCCCACCGTGGCTGCAGGAGGGTTTGTTTTGTTGCTGTTATTTATGAGGTTGTTTCTGGAGGAGCCAGGCACTTGTCCAGAGTTAGGGGGACAGAGGAGGGGACGCAACTGATGCTGGAAGAATTAGAGTGCTGATTTACAGCTGGGCTGTTTAGTTGGATGACTCATTTGTGAACATTGACAAATGCCATTAAAGCTGCATCTCCTTCCTGCCTCTGCTTGGGCACTCTCCCTGTGTGGTTTGATACAGCCACTCTCCACCACGGAGCTGCCTGCACACCCTGAAGGCACTATCTGTCCCTCCCCACCAGAAAAATGAAGGTCCTGTCTCCTTGAGGGTCATCCAGGGCACTGGGAAGATGTAGGACTGTCCCATGGTGGTGGTGGTATAATGAGAATGATACCTGATGGGCTTATGCAGCCAGGGCTTCCCATCCTCTCTGCCCTTGCTGGTCTTGGCCCCATAACTACTTTTGGCAATGATAACTTGTTACTTGAGTCACCAACGCTCCAAGGAGCTTAGGGTGACTTGGCTCATTAAGGTGTCACTCCATCCCTATGAGAGCACTCTCTAGCCTGCTGCAGCCTTGCCACCCTGCAATTCCCGCACTATCCTCGCTCATCCATCCGAGGCACCCACGGACTTCACGGCCCCGGTTTGCTGGCTCAGCTTTATGCTGCCGTCCCCTCCGCACTCATCCTCAACACCCCTCGCCCCACGCTCTCTCCTGCACCCCTGCAACCCTCCCTCTTCCTCCCGCCCTCCGCCATCTCCTTGCCCCTGAACGTCCCATCTGCCCTTGATCTCTGTCTCCTCCCTGCACCCCTGAGAACTCCTCACCGCCTCCTTCAGCCCTCTGCGCTCTCCCCGCCCCGCTCTCGCTCCATCTCCCTATCCCTGCCCCGCTCCCGCTCCATCTCCCTGTCCCTGCCCCACTCCCGCTCCATCTCCCCGTCCCTGCCCCACTCCCGCTCCATCTCCCCATCCCTGCCCTGCTCCCGCTCCATCTCCCCCTCCCTGCCCTGATCCCGCTCCATCTCCCCATCCCGCTCCATCTCCCCATCCCTGTCCCGCTCCATCTCCCCATCCCTGCCCCGCTCCCGCTCCATCTCCCTGTCCCTGCCCCGCTCCATCTCCCCGTCCCTGTCTCTGCCCCACTCCCGCTCCATCTCCCTGTCCCTGCCCCGCTCCATCTCCCGCTCCCTGCCCCGCTCCCGCTCCATCTCCCCGTCCCTATCCCTGCCCCGCTCCATCTCCCGTTCCCTGCCCCGCTCCCGCTCCCTGCGCGTCCCTCCGCCGCCCCCTGGCGGCCGCCGCTGCCCGCGGGGATTGACCCGAGCCGGCCGCCGTCGCCCCTGCGGGAGCCGCTGCAGGCGCGTCCGGTCTCCATGGCAACGCGCCCCGGCCCCGGCCCCGGCCCCGGCCCCGGTCCCGAGGTGTGCCGGACTCCCGCTGCTTTGGGGGGCCGGGCTGGGATCGAGGGAGTCGGCCAGGCCCGAGGGCGATGGTGACTCGGGGCCCGGGTTCTGCTGCGCTCCGGGTGCAAGCGGGGTCATGCTGGAGCGCGCCGTGCCCAGGGAGCTGGGCAGGCGCTCGCGTGGGGAACGGGTCCTGCCACACGCACCGTGCGGGGCTCGAGGGGGCCAGGCCGGGCTGCAGAGCACAGCCTGGCCGTACTGAGCCCCGCGGGCCGATAGTGGGCAGGGCTGTGCCAAGGAGAGAGCTTCCACAGGGGCCGGGCTGAGTCGTGACCCGCAGGTCATGGGGACAGCCGTGCTCTGGAGAGGGCTGCAGCCGGCTGCGAGCTGGGGACACAGCGGGGCTGCGAGCTGGGGACACAGCGGGGCTGTGAGCTGGGGACACAGCCGAGCTTCGAGCTGGGGACACAGCGGGGCTGCCAGCTGGGGACACAGCAGGGCTGTGAGCTGGGGACACAGCCAGGCTGCGAGCTGGGGACACAGCCGAGCTGCGAGCTGGGACACAGCGGGGCTGCCAGCTGGGGACACAGCCGAGCTTCGAGCTGGGGACACAGCCGAGCTTCGAGCTGGGGACACAGCCGAGCTGCGAGCTGGGGACACAGCCGAGCTTCGAGCTGGGGACACAGCGGGGCTGCGAGCTGGGGACACAGCCGAGCTTCGAGCTGGGGACACAGCGGGGCTGCCAGCTGGGGACACAGCGGGGCTGCGAGCTGGGGACACAGCCGAGCTGCTCCCTGCGGGGAGGGCTCCGCCGCCAGCAGCCTGAGCAGCGCCGTCGGGTCGCTGGAGTGCCCGGCCCTTGGCAGCAAAGGCTTTGTGGGTGAGGGGACAGCATGTGTGAGGACTTTCCCCTCTTGTTTCTCAGATGCTTGCTCAGGTGTCTGACGAGCCCGAAACCTCTGACTCTTCTCGGAAGAGTGTCTATGACAGTAAGGTGAGTGGAGGAGCAAAGAGTGCTGCTGACTTGGGTGGATTGTCTGGCAGGCAGGGTGAGGACAGAAACAAAAAATCGTCCTTCGTCACACGTTTTAGTATCTGCTGTTTGGGCTGTGGCCAGGAGGTGTCCTCTCTGGACCCTGGAGCAGGGCTTTTGGAGACTCCTGGAGTTTTGCCGCACGGTGGCTCCTCTCATCCGTGTCTAGAGTCAGAAACCCTTAGCATAGAGAAAGGGCTGTTTGTTTGAGTGATTTCTCCTCCCTTCGTCCAGAATTGCTACTTCCCTAAGGTGTCCGCAAGAAAGGCAAAGAAGAAGAAAGTCGTATTCTGGGGCATTGAGGTGCCTGAAACACTCAGTTGGCATGGCTGGGAACTTGGAAAAGAGATGATCAAACACCTGACCTTGAAAAATGTTCATGGGAAAGTCCAGAAGCTGCGTTACAGGTGTGTGGGAAGTTTGTTTGTCCTTGGTACTCCTCATGCTCTCTCTGCATCTTCACTCCTCCTG